TTCCAACACTCGGGGCGTCGACCGAGGCGCCCGTCGCGGAGGGCCCTGAGCTCCTGACAGTTGTTGGTGTTGTGGTTGTGCATGTTGTGGAAGACACAGAATGGTTGGTTGCTCTTGGATGACTCGGGGTGGTCGCAGCTGCACTTCGTCTCCGGCTCAGCCGCAAGCACGGCTGGCCCCTTGCGATTCACGTCCTTGGCCTTGGCCTTCTTGTCTTCTGGGTCATCATCGAGGAGCTCGGGGAGGGAGAGGCACCTCTCTTCAGCCCTTGCGCACTTGTTCGTCATGTTGAACATCTCCAGGGCTGTGCAGAGATCCTCGTGGATGGCGAGCTCCTCCTTCATCTTGACATCACGGACGCCATCAGTGAACGCTGAGACGATGGCCTCGTATGACACCTTGGGAATCTTGAGGCGAACGACGTTGAACCGTTGGATGTACTTCTGCAGGGTCTCTCCCGGTTGTTGCTTGATAAGTCGCAGGTCACCCGCGGCCGGCGGACGGTCGCGAGTGCCCTGAAAGTTGGCGATGAAGCGGCCGCGCATATCCTCCTAGGAAGAGACCGACCCCTCGGGCAGGTTTAGGAGCCAAGAACGCGCGCCATCCTTGAGGGCCATCAGGAACCAGTTTGCCATGATCTTCTCATCGCCGCTGGCCGCCTCGATGCTCAGCTTGTAGAGCTGGAAGAACTCGGCGGGGTTGGCGGTGCCGTCGTAGCGTGGAGGCAGGTCAGGCTTGAACTTGCTTGGCCAGACGACGTTGCGGAGCTCCGGGGTGAACGCGCGGCATCCTGCTGTGGCCACTGGAGGTCGTCGAGGAGGTGGAACCTGGTCCTGGTGCACGCGCACCGCCACCTCCTGCGGCGGTACACGGGCCTGGTGCAGGGGCGCTGGAAGTATGCGCACTTCTCCTTGAGGTCGCTGCACCACCTGGCAGCTCACATCCTCCCGAGCTGGCATAGGGCGCGGCGGGTTGCGCCGTGGTGCCACACGCCTTGGCTCAGTGATGACGCCCTGGGCCGAAGGTGGTGGAGGAGCCCCGTGAGCCACGTCGCCCGCTGCAGGTGGCTGCTGAGGCGGTGAGCGGGCCGGGGCAGCGGAGCCCCCGGCCATGCTGACGAGCTCAGCGATCCGCTCAAGCCACTCCTTGTAGAAGTCGCCGACCGGGCGGTAGCGAAGGAGCTCCCGCCCCATGAGCAGAGCGGCCTGCGCGTCCGCTGGGCCGTGACGCGCGTGGGAGGACGAAGCTGCTGGAGTCAGTGACGGAGTAGCGGTGCGCCCGTCACGGCGCACCGACGGGTGCAGCGAAGAAGCTTGTTGCTCATGGCCGGCAGGGCCCGTGGCGGCGTTGGCCACCAGAGACGGAGCACGACGAGCACAACCATCGTCCCCCGGAGCCGTCTGAGCAACGCGAGCAGCGACTGCGGCCCGGCGCTCGGCGCGAGCTCGGCGTGCGTCGGGCATGGAGGTGTCGGAGTGGCGGTGGGTCGATCGACGAAAGAGGAGATCCGACGCACCCCTACCTGGCGTGCCAAATGTCGGATTACGGGTTCCGCAAACCCTTGAGAGGTTCGAACTCCGGGGTGCGTGCGGAGATCTCAACCTACCCAACCTGCCTACTCGCGATCCTCCTAAGCCTAGTGCGACGAGCTCGAAGAAACAAAGAGACACAACAGTTTATCCTGGTTCGGGCCACCTTGCGGTGTAATACCCTACTGCAGTGTTTTGGTGGATTGCCTCATAGGGCTGAGGATGAACTAATACAGTGGATGAACTGGCCTCAGGAGGTGAGGTGTTCTTGAGCTCGAGAGAGCTGGTGAGGTGGTCCGGTGAGAATGGATCCCATCCCCCTCTATGGTGGTGGCTAAGTCCTATTTATAGTGGCCTTGGTCCTCTTCCCAAATGTTGGCGGGAAGGGATCCCACAACGGCCGGATTTGAAAGGGGACAAGTAGTACAGCTTATCCTGACAAAAGTAGTCTTCTCCTGCGAAAAGCCTCTGGTCATGACGCTGCGGTGGGCTCGGCGATGACCTTCATCCTGCCGTCCTGGCGGTTTTGGTCTTGTTGCACCAGAATGAAAACCTTTGGCTGATTCCTCGGGACTCCGCGCCTGTGGCTTGCCTCCCTTTCACCGAAGAGGAAACCTGCGCTCTGCGCCCGCTGGCACCCGCCCGGCCTTGGTCGTCATGGCTCACGTCAGCTGAGCCTCGTGAGGTAAACCTTGCATGAAACTCTCCGCCCCTCGGGAGCCAGCCTGAAGAGGTCGATCCCCTCGGGGGTCTTGGCATCGTCCGCCTCGCGAGGCTCGGCCCCTCGTGAGAGTCTCGAGTTGTTGATGCTGAAGCTGAGCCGTACCAGGCCGACGATGAAGCCATGCGGTGGGCCACAGGCAGGCAGGGATGGATACCCCCATATCCAGAAGGCCGACATAAGCCTCTCACATCCTTCGGTAGATTACAGATGCAGTTATCCATAGATTTGATTGCTCCACCTTATGCAGGGCATTGTCTTATGCAGTTTGCTATTTTCTCTGCAAGTGGCATGGGAGGACATCATGACGTGCATTGGTGGAAAATCACTTGATGTAACCTCCAAGTTTTCAATGGTTGTTTGTTTGATGTCTTTGTTTTCTTTTCTCTGGTATTTTAGTTTTTTTTCATATGCAATTTGGATTTTTTTAGGGGATCTAAACATAAAGTTTGGTCTTTAGAAAATGCATTTTGGATCATTCTTTATTCGCATTTGATTTCAGATGTGTTATTTTTCTCTTTCACTCTCTTCCCTAAGAAAACCAAAAAAATGTGGCTCGTTTCTCTCTGCCTCTCCCTCTATCCCTTGAGCATGTAGCACAAACATCTTCCCTAAAGAAAGTACCACGAACATCAAAGAGGTTGTTAACGTGGACAAGGCCCAAACTTCATGGAAGGCAAAGGAGTTGGTGAATGGGATGGCAACACCATTGACTATCGTAATCACCGAAAGTATTAAACCCAAGACACTGGATGCACTGCCCATATTGACATGATTCCTCACCCAAGGATAAAAACACTAAGGGTTGGAGTGGTCTACTGCCACATGGAATGGCTGCGAGGCGCTGGGCCTGAGCAGACTGCCTTCTCATAGCTCTATGCAGCACTGCCTGGATATGCTCAGACGCACACCAGCTGGTCAGAGGCGAGGAATTAAGACAATGACGATCCTGATCACCTGGCACATCTGAAAGGAGCGGAATGCTTACGTTTTCAGAAGGAAAATGCCCAAGACCGGCGATGTTCTCCAGGCTATAAAGCTTGATCTTACACAATGGAGGTCTGGCGGAGCTGCATGCTTAGAGCCCCCGTCGGGGACGCCCTGATGAGATAGTCAGCTTTACGTAGGCGACGGGTGCCTTATCCTCTTTTTACTTATTTTCTTTTATCCCGAGCCCTGCTCCTGTTCGCCATGATCACTTGATCCTCACTGTTTTCCCGTATGGTTTCTCCTAAATCAATGAAGCCGGTCAAAACCGGATCTTTCAAAAATATATATTCTATTTGAGTTGAAAATCCTATAAACCGAATTAGCATCCCATGGAAAGTCTTCTTTGATCACATTCGAAAAAAGGGAATTGTCGTCCTACAATTTTTCAACAAACATAACATCTTAACAAACATGTTTCTAGTCTTTGCGTTTACCATTCATACATGACATCGGACAAACGGTTTTGAAGTTTTTATGTGGGCTTGGTTATCGTAGATGCACGACTTATCGATTTCCGCACTTAAACCTGATTACCAAGGTACGGCTTAATGCGGGTCATGTTTGTCGACGCGAGCATGAAAAAATGGCAAAATCTGAATTCAATCAAACTCAACTTGTTTGCTGCCCGGGGAGTAGCCAGAAGATTCGCTCAATGAATTATAAACGCCCAAATACAAAAAAAAAAGCACCCTAATTAACTCAGCTCAGACGCAACTCATTTTCCCAGGGATTAGGATCATTTGCCAATCTTTACATAGCTACTCCCTCTGTCACATAATATAAAATGTTTTTTAACACTACACTAGTGCCAAAACGTCTTATATTATGAGACGGAGGGAGTAGTAAAGTGTGGGTTAAGATCAAATTTCTCCATTTTCCGGTACCCCGGAGCCGGAAAAGATGGACGGTGTTAAAACCAGGCCAGCAATAGCAAATCCCAGGTCCGAAGGCCAAACAGCTTACATTTGCGTTCCGTGGAGTGCACGGGGCCCCGATCTTGGAAGGCAGCGGAAATCCAAAACCCCCGTGAACCAATCATCACACCACGCGCCGCGCCGCGCATGGAGATCCACTCCCGCAAGCCACAGTGACGCGCCACCGGCGGGGCGGCCGCCGTTGCGCAAAGCAGATCTATCTATCTATCCAGCGCGCGTGTGCACGCACATGCAGGCGACCGTCCATCACGCGCTATCATTTCGGCCTGTCTGCCCACCGTTCGTCCCTCCCATACCAGTCTCAGGCCCGTCCATCACCCCTGATCGCCGGCCGACCTGTTGCAATCGAAATTTGGAAACACCCACGGTGCCAGCCATTTTTGCCTGACCCGGAAAACACCACACCTCGTCTCCCCGGTTTCGATCCATCCACCGTCCCTGCTTCGCTGACAGTTACACGGCCAAAAAGATCACAAATGATGTAGCAACAAAAAGCAGAAACGCCTCACTTTTTGACACTTTGTAGTATGTGAAGTGACCCCAGAAGGAGATGAAAGAATCTAGCAGCAGTAAAAAGCCAACATCATCACTCTACACAGATCTATAAAACGGATGTGGGGGACAAGCAGAAAAAGGTGAAGAGAAAGACGAAGAAAACGCAGCAAAAAGCAGATCCCCATTAAGTGAAGGGCCATCCCAAAGAAGAACCAAAACTTTACACCAGCCGACCTGCCTCTAATAAAACAGACTCTCCACACATCCTAAATAAACATCGGCGTATATGTACCAGCAGGCAGCAGCCACCTCCAGCTGCTGTTTGTTATATTATGTAAGAGATGATCCGATGGTTTGGTTCTCGAACCGCCGGATCTCGCCGGCGAGGCGCTTCATGGCGTCGTCGTACACGTAGGGGACGCCCTCAAACGTAACCTTGCGGCCGCCGCCGGGCCGCGGCACAAACTCCTGGCAGGGCTCCCCCAGCACGTTGATGGAGTTGTGGTAGTGGTAGTACCTGATGAGGGCCTCCGTCTTGTGCGTCGACCTCCCGTACACGTTCTGCGACATGTGCACCCCGGTCGCATACGCGTTCCGCGCCTGGATCGCGTACTTGCGGTCGCGCCGGACCCTCGTGATCGAGTTCCGGAACACGAACTTCTCGAATCCCCATTCCCTGCATCGTCGGTGAAATGCGCACGTTAGTTAGTTCTTCGGATCACGTCGTTGCTATGTTACAATGCCGATTAGTCTGAAATGTAAAATCAATGACAAAGGCAAAGACTATGCTAAAATTTATATGTCATGAACAAAGCAAATTTTGTTTACTGGGTTCAATTCATCTTTGTTTTCAGGCAGGTAGAAGGCGATACCTTTATCGTGGAACCAAATCATGATATATAGTAAGGTTTTTTGCTTCAGTGGTGAATGCTGGAGAACAGAATGTATTAAAGTAATTGGCTTTGTTTGTGAAACCAACAGATGCTTTACTAAGATTTTTGGCTCAAAAGTGAAAGATGTTGGAGAACCAAATGTGCTCAAGTAATGACCTTTAGTTGTGACACCTAATGATGCTTTAATTAACTGCTTTGCAGGACTAAATTTGACCAAAAGAATTGGTTCAGTGATGAAAGCTGGAGAACAAAAAGAGAAGGTGTCAACCGCCATGCTGCCCTGTAGGACTCAATTTGACCAAAGGAAATCTAACCAATTTTTAATTAAAAAAATTAACTGTTGAAGGTCGAACTCAAGTAGCACAGTGCCCAATTGTTCAACAGACTGCATATAAACAAGTAGTAACTGCTTTGAGAATGTCTGTTTGTCTGAATTAACAACACAACCCCTGTTCTACTGACAAAATATATACTCCTATTTGGGAATGCTACCAAACCGGTAGAACAAATTGCATTTCCAACCAGCCTGAGGCTAAATTTGGGAGGCGGCGTGACAGAGATCTCGCAATCACAAATGTAAAAATAGTTACTGAAGATATTACTACGAGATACGGGATAGAAATCACAAACAAACCTTGAGTAATCATTCCTCGGATTCTTGACGCAGAGCTTGGTGGACATGGGATTCTGCTCGATGGTGAACTGCGTGTAGCCCGAGAGCTTGCCGAGCACCTGGTCCAGAGCCTGGCCGTTGGGCAGGTAGAGGTACTCGTCGACGTCGAAGAAGAAGGTCCAGTTGGCGGCGTGCCGGTACCGGTGCAGGCAGTCGTTCACCACCAGGAACTGGTTGTAGTAGTAGCTGTCGAACTCGGCCTGCGCCCGGATGTCCTGCACCGTGATCCGCCCCGCCCTGATCCACGGGTCCAGCACCGCCCTCACCTCCGGGCTGACGCCGCCGGCGTCGTGGAAGACGAAGTGCGACCTGGGCCCGAATAAGTGCGCGTGGTAGGCCACCCACTCGCGCATGCGGCTGGCGCTGAGGTTGCCGTAGAGCGAGGAGCCGCAGTAGAGGTAGTCGTACTGGAACGGCGGGCTGAAGATGGCCTCGTCGTAGGCGCCCGGCGCCTCCTCCAGCGCCACGAAGCGCTCGTACCGGCGGGAGGCCGTGGAGTGGTAGGCGTGGACGAGCAGCCTGCCGCCGGCGTTGGCCGCGTTGGGGTTGGAGGGGAAGGTGCAGTTGACGACGACGGTGGTGTAGACGCGGCCGTACCCCCAGTCCGGCAGGATCTTGTAGGCCTTGGTCCGGACGGCGGGCGGCGCCGGGTCAGCGGCGCTCGGGTTGGGCTGCCACTCGCACTTGAAGTAGGGGGTGCCGAACACGTGGGTGGGCTTAGACGCCAGCCCCACGATGGCGAACGTCCGCGGCCCGCCCCGGTACGCGCCCATCTGCACGAACAGCGCCGCCGCGCTGCCGTACGGCCGGAGCACCGGCCTTTTCGGGTCCTCCAGGCGCACCGCCGCGCTGCCGGACGGCCGGGGCACCGGCCTTTTCGGCTCCTCCGCGCGCGCCGCCGCGGTTACGTGCGGCCGAGGGAGCACCGGCTTGTTCGTGTTCGGCTGCTCCGCCCGCGCCGCCGAGCTTACGTGCGGTCGAGGGAGCACCGGCTTGTTCGTGTTCGGGTCCTCCGTCCGCGCCGCGGCGCTTACGTGCGGCCGAGTGAGCACCGGCTTGTTCGTGCTCGGGTCCTCCGTCCGCGCCGCCGCGCTTACGGGCGGCCGAGTGAGCACCGGCTTGTTCGTGTTCGGGTCCTCCGTCCGCGGCGCCGGCTTCGCCAACCGCATCGGAACAGCGGCGACGGCGGCCGTGGCCGGAGCCGACGTCGCCACCGGTGCGCCCTTGGTAGCTGCGTTGGAGGACGTCGAGTTGGCGGAGTGAACCTCAGTGTTGTTGATGTTGCTGGCGGCGGCAGCGGAGGTTGTGGCGAGGGGAAGGGCGCAGGGGGGCGCGGATGCGGAGGAGCGGGCGGCGGCGAGGAGGGAGCCGTAGGGCTGGAGCTGCCACAACGCGACGAAGAGCGTGAGGAAGGCGAGCGAGGCGACGAAGAGCTTGATGTCCACGCACGGGACGGCGACGAGCGCTCCACCCCCACCGCCACCGCCACCTCCCGCGTCTTTCTTCTTCATGACACGCACGGTTACGTACGACTCTGCAATCGAAACGGCCACCAGCTCCTCGATCCGCCTGCGCGGCCGGTCGGCGCTCCGCTACGGGCTCTGCTCCCGTGCTCCGGCCGGACCAGTGCTCCGGTTGCGCGCCGCGCTTTCCCCCCTCCCTCCCTCCGTCCGTCCTGGTTATCTTTCTCGGGAGCGGGCGAAGGGCTGGGTGGGCGGTAAAAGGCAAGAGAGGTTCGATCGAGATGCGTGGAATGTGGGGGGTGACGGAGCGGAGGGGGAGGGGAAGGTGGCGTCTGAATCGACGGGTCGGTCGGTGTGTCGACGTTGTCGACGGACGGAGCGGGGGAGGGATTGTTCTGGACGCTGCGGGCGAGAGACGGGGGGCGGCGCCGCGAAGCAACAGTCAAGGCTGGCTGGCTGGCTGGCTGGCTCAGGGCGGGCAGGGGAAGGAAGGAGGGAAGGAAATGAAGGCGCGTGTGAGAGAGGTACTGGTGGTGGTGGAGTGAGTTTAGGGCGATTAACCGCCGGATCCGCGCGGTCCGTAACGCAGGCCACCAACCGCGTTCGTAGGGCGTCGTGGCTGGCTGCCGCTGGCGCTGGCGATGAGGAAACTCTCGGAAGGAAATCAAGGCCCGCCACCGGACAACGCGTGCGGGAGCGGCCGCCAGTTTGGCTTGCACCTGTCGCAAGTCCGGGCATGCAAGCAACAGCGCCGCGGCTCCGTGGATCGGAGACGAGTAGTGGTTGTAGTACAGGGACGGCGTGGCTCGACTCGTCTACGGTAGAAAAGCCGTCGCCTACACGGTCTCACTTCAGGCGGTACGCACGTGGTTGAGAGCATCTCCAACAGCCGCGCTATAGCGCCGCGCGCAAAAAACCTGTTAGCGCGCGCGCTGCGCCCGCTCCAGCAGCCGCGCTAAAATGCAGCGCGCGCGCGCCGCTCCAGCAGCGCGCAAAAATACAGCGCGCATTAAACATTTTTTTTAATTTTCGAACGCATAGATAAAATAAAACTAGATAGATTGCATAAATAAAAAACGATACAAAGGTATTTTACATCGGTGCAACTAGATAGATAATTCGAAAGCATAGATAAACTACGGCGCAACTAGATAGAAAATTCGAAAGCATAGATAAACTACGGCGCAACTAGATAGAAACTACTCTAAGTCGCTATCATCATCACCATCGCTATCATCCTCGGCGGTGTCGTCCAAGGTGTCTAGCCAGATGTCCAGCCACCGATCATCGTCCGGCGTGAAGAACGACTGCCCACCTGCTGCAACGATGTCGGACTGCGCATTCGCCCAACGCCTTCCGCTGACGGCTTTCCAACCGCTTCTCGCGGCGCCTTTGCGTGTCCTCCTCGCGGCGCCTTGCCCAGTAGGCCTGCTCGTAGGCGACGTCCTCCGGGTGGCACTGGCGCCACTCCGCCATGACCCGCTCGTCCTCCTGGGCGACGAGGAGGCGGCGTTGCCGCTCGGCGTGCTCCGCACGGTCTTCCGTTGTGTTCAGACGAGGCAGAGGGGCGAGGTTGAGAGCTTGCTGGAGCGTGTACACATCTTGAAAGTTCATCTGGCCGCGCGGCCGGCCTAGGCGCCACGCCGCCGCGTCGTACGCGCGGGCGGCCTGGCGCGCTGTCTCGTATGTGCCGAGGCCGAGCCGGAGTTCGTCGGAGCGTATCTCCGCGGTGTAGACGCCGTTGGGGCGCAGGCGAACGCCGTGGTAGCTGGACGCTCCTCGGCGGCGCGGCGGCATGGCGGCGCGTCGGTGTCGGGGCGCGGGAGCGGCGCGTGGCAGAGAGAGGAAGAGGAGAAGAGGAGGTGCGAGAGAGGCGCGTGGCGCGCGCAGCATTTTATAGGCGCGCCGGAAGCGGTGCGCAAAATATGGCGCGCGAGCTGGCGTTTTTTCGCGCGTGCGCAAGCGGTTCCCGCGCGCGTGATTTTCCCGCCGCCGCTGGAGCGCGACAAAACGCCCCGCGCGCGCTAAAGGCTGCGTTTACCGCGCGCGCGTCGTTTCGCGCGGCCGTTGGAGATGCTCTGATAACCGGGTCTCAGCGGAAAAAAAGACGCTTCGTAGAACGGCGAGGTTAAGGGTTTCTCATCATGTGACGAGATTGAATGTCAGGTGCTTTCGATTTGTCCAAGGGTTCAACGATGACGACCAGTTGCGTAGCCAAGATCGATGAGCGCCCGAGCCAAACCTGCATCTATAGTAGCTACAGTGTCACGTGCACAAAGACTAACCGGGTGTCTTTGACAAGGTTAAACCGGCTCTGATGGGAGAGCGGCGCAATCAACGTGTTAGCAGCTTGTTCTAGCTGCCACCGTGGTCGATCGGTGGCCACAAAATCTTAATATCCTATCTCCGTCTAGATGAATAAGTCATTCGCGTAGTTGTAGGTCATCGATTTGAGGAATTAAATATGTGTAATATGTCATGAAAAGTATATCAATAAATTTCTACACGGATATAGTTTCTAAATATATATTTTTTCACGTATATTAGATAATTAAATAGTCGGTCTAGAACTACGCAAATGACTTATTCACCGAGACGGAAGTAGTAGTGTTTTTATTCGGAAGTGCTTCGTTTAAAGAAAATGAAAAGTAAGAGCTCTTCGACTCAAAAGGACGAAAGTCGGTGTATAGAAGACGCCGCCAAGACATGAAGCGACCGACCGCATCGACGTGTCAACCTGGGGCTAAAAAGCGTTGCTCGCCCTGATTAAAAAAAAAAGGAAATGATTCAACGAGACAGTGCCACGACTCAGACGATGTGGTACTAGAAAATTAGTAACGTCTCCGTTCTTGGATCTGCTTGCCGGATGCGGATGCTGGCATCATCTCGTCTTCTCCTCGCCTTTCTCGCTGGCGCCCGGGCCGTGCTCTGGTGCCTGCACCTGTGCCATGCAAAGCACAGGTCATCTAAGGCGGAGGGGTCCATCTCGACTTCCTTCTCTTCTGCTGAGCGGCACTGCACTCTGGTACGACTTGAATACTGTTCACCTTATCCATACCCCGTCCATTAGAGCATCTCCAATAGCATGTGTATATTTGGATGTCTATATATTCATATAGACAATGGTCTAAAAAGATTCCCTCATATACACATCCAGTTTTACATCAGAATGTCTATATAAAGGGACCATGACAGGTGGACCGTTGCTGGGGAGAGGAAGAAATCATGACTACAGCTGAGTTTAGACAACGCCTTCACATTGTCCAGGCGTGGACATTGTCGAGGTCGATTTAGAGAACGTGTATATTTGGACAACCATATAGACAAGCTGTTGGACGCCTGTTTTAGGCTCACGTCGTGAAAAACGAATATAGACATTCATATAGACAAGCTATTGGAGATGCTCTTACTAGCAGCAGACGTGCTATTGGTGCATGATTGTCGCGTGGATGTGCGCTTCCGCGACAGTGTGAAGGCTAGTCCATTTTTCTCGACAAAATTACTACGTAGTCCACTTGAATTTACTAGCTCTGTAAGGCCTTGTACAATGGGAGGTGCTTAGGAGAGGTGCTTAGAGAAATAAACCAGGCTTTTGTTAAGCACCGGTGCTTATTTGTACAGGATAGACGCTTAACTAAGCGTCTCTCCTGTAGAAATAGGCACCGGAGCTTCAGAAAAACCCGGTTTATTTTTCTAAGCATCTCTCTAAGCACCTCCCATTGTACAAGGCCTAAGAGCATCTTCAACGGCAACCCGTAAAAAATCTCTCGCATTGTTCACGAACAGAAAGACATAGACGGCAAGCAATTCAAACTAATCCAAGAGAAAGACCGGTCCACGGACATGAATGCGGATGGCGGCCATCCAATACTAGCCGCATACATTTTAAATCGCCCTTTAACTAACTAGACGAAGTTGATGCAAACCGACCGATATTCATCAAAGTCCAGATAGAAAATAGAACAAATCAACCACACATTAGCTTCATCCAGCAGTGTGTGCATGTAAATGCCCGTCCCGCTGACCTGTGGTACAGCACGGCGGCACGTGCGGGCTACATATAATGTGTAGACTAACATTGAGTGAATGGATCAATCAACAAGTTTAGCAGGAGGAAGTAAAACTTACCATCTCCTTCATGCCCGCGTGCAATGGCCACCTTGCCTCGAGCTGACTGACCAAGTTGCAGAACTTGATGACGCTGACCTGAATAGCGTGCCAGCGATACGACAACGACCTCACGTTGCGTGGCCGCATGATGTACACGTTGTAGGGCGGAATGTGCTTTCCCGCATGAAACTTTTTCATGCACTTGTTCCGAGAAGAGCGACCCTCTGGAGCCTATGAAATCTGGGGATACAACCAGCCACGCATCACACAACAACTCATCCTCCATGATCGAGTAACTCGCCATCCTTCGTACTCTAAAAAACACCTGCCGGCTGTGCTGTCCGCCATGGAGGTCGTCGACAGAGGGCGGAGTGTACCTAGGTACAAACGGCTCCAGGGCTGAAAGTTCTCGCAAAACGACGAGTGGGCGCGTCGGTGATGGTTGCGGACGTCCGACAATGCCTCTCTGGCGGCCGGAGACGAACAACGGCATCGGCGAAGGTGAAGGGTGCCGATGTAAAGCAAGGGGAAGAAGGGACGGAGTGGAATGAAATTGGACTGGGCCAGGGGTGTCGGAGCCCAACGTTTCGGGTGTCTGGACTCCCGCAAACCTCCCACATTTTTGTCTCCATTTTGCGAGAGAAATCGCATCCGGGACGCCCCGCGGACCGATACGGGTCGGGTTGGATGGCTTCTGCGGTTCGGACAGTACGGTCCGGAATGTTGCGGGAGGTTTACGGGTCCGCCTTGGAGATGCCCTAACGTTGTCGTACTTAAAAAGCACTAGAATTTTGCGGTAATTATGCATGAAAACACGTTATATCAGTGGTTCTATATACGATGTTGGCTACAGCAGAGAGCTGTTGTGCCGCCATGTGTTTTTTTTTGCGAAAAGCCCCCTCGCCTTTTGGGAATCAACCCAAGCCTCATTGGATTTG